TTCTTTTTTCCCTTTTTCCCACACATTTCCTTTCCTTTTTTCCTTTTCCTTATCTCATAATATTATATAATATATAATATTAATACATGAATAAAGTATCCAGTGGATAGTGTTGTCACTCCTTTTTGTCTTAATGCACCATATGAACTCAGCTAATTGTAGTTGATTAAATAAACTGAAAACAAGTGATAGTGAATTATGACGGAGAATGTGAATCTATTTCTAAGCATTAGAGATGTACAGAAGCACTAACAACCTCTTGATTTTTATTTTGGTGTCATGTGCTGTTCTTACAGTTGAGACAGAAATATGAGAATAGGGCTATTTTGAGTCTTACATTAAAAGAAACAAGTCAGAGCCTTAGGAATCCAAACGTTAAAAAACCTAGTTTCTGAATGCAATGACAGCAGTGTTATTCTCCTGGAACTTTACTATATTTGTTTTTTTTTGTCATAGTTGTTCTACTTTTATTTGCAGGTTTTTATATTTTGTGATTTTCTCCAGTTCTTTTTCTTCTACAGTATTCTGCTCTCTCCAGGTAGTGCAACACCCACTATCCAGTCTTTGTCTTTCTTATTGATAATTGTTAAGTATGGAATATTATGGGCAAGTGCTTGTTTCAATCATAACGTCCCAAAGCACTTTAGATTCTTCATTTTCTATATCATCATCATCATCATCAATCATCGCACACTCAGCCAGATGTTCAGGCTGGGTTTGGCATTTTTGTCTACCTATCAAGTCCTTACCAAGGACCTGGGATAGGCAAATCTGGTTGTTTGATGGTGTTACATATATCGTTGCAAGATGGAAACTGTTCCAAGTAAATCCGCCTTCTACAATTGACTGATGGCAAATTTCTCAATGGCTATGGTTTTCAAGTGGTGCTCCAGTTGTTTTGGAATTGCACTCAAGGAGCCTATTACTAGTAGTACTACGCTTCCTTGCCTTTGCCACAGTTGTTCTGTTACTATTTTTAGGTCTTTGAATTTTGTTATCTTCTTCAATTCTTTTTCTTCTCTTCTGCTGTCTCCACCACTGCCACATCCACTATCCAGACCTTTTTTGTCTTTTTTTAAATAGATAATAGATATTATTAAGACTGGGGTGTTCTGTGGCAGGTGTCTGTCTGTTTAAATTCTGAAGTCCCAGAGCAATTTAACTTCTTCATTTTCTATGACTTTCTCTACTTTATAGTCCCACCAGTTCTTGCTTGCAGGTAAATGATATCTCTTGCAGATCTTCCAGTGCCCCATTGCTGCTACTTTGTTATGCCTCTGCTTGTAGTCAGTCTGTGCAATCTTCTTGCAGCAGCTTACCAGGTGGTCTACTATTTTCTCAACTTCTTTGCATAGGCGGCACTTACTGTCTGTTGCTGTCTTCTCCATTCTGGCTTTGTATACATTTGTCCTTAAGGCTTGGTCTTGGGCAGCCAAAATTAGTCCCTCAATCTCTTTCTTTAACTTTCCTGCTCTTAGCGATTGCCAGGTTTTGTTATTATCTGTTTTCCTTGCTTCCATCTGTTCTTCGTTTGTCTTTTTTGTAGGCCAGTTTGGTGTTTTCAGTAGTCAGTAAGCTTCTTCTTCTTCTTCTTCTTCTTCTTCTTCTTCTTCTTCTTCTTCTTCT